GGCCTCACTGCTGCGAGGCCTGGCTGTGCCCTGAACCGTCCAGATGGACGGTTCAGCCCCAACCGGCGGGCGGCAGCCTCAAGAGCGCCGCCAGGCCCAAACGGTAATGTCGTTTGGGCCTGCCCGTCGGGTCTGGTCCAAGGTGAGGCCTTTATGGCCTGTAGTACCCCAAGGTCGGGCCTTTAGGCCCTGATGTGTCCCTCTAGCCCTAAGTCGGGTCCGGTAGGACCCGTGTGGCGTCGAAGATGTAACATCCCCCCTCCCCCCTCGTCCTGCAAACCCCTCCCCTCAGTGCCTAGAACCTGACATGCAGCAAAAAAAAAAAAAAAGAAGCCGGGTTTGGATTGGACTGCCAAAGCGCAGCAAGGTCGTGCCCGTGAAAAAAAAAAAACTCGGTGGATTTTTTCAAGCCCGGGGCGCTCAACCAGGAGGTAGCTACATTGATACATTATTTCTTGAACTTTCTTCTCTATCGACTACAACGGATCTATCTTCGAGCTGTGAAGTTATTGCCATAGTTCTTTCCTGAATTATATGTCTCAAGGACTAGGACTTAGTGGGTTTCATGCTTGGTTGAGACCAACCTAGTCGACCGGTGTGTGCCTCGTACTTGGGAGATCAACGCCCTAGAAAAAGAACGGCTGGATACTTGATGATAGTCAGAAAGAGACACCAGAGAATGAGGCTGCATACCGCTTAAACATGACTACATTTGGCAACTGATGTTGTTAGCACAGAGCCTCCAATTTTTCAGTTGGCCTGTCGGATGGTCAATCCTGGAGCAGGAGTGGAGCCACAGTTACCTCCACCATCTAAAACCCGGACTCAGGTCCCAAAAAGGGAGTGCTGCTTGAGACCACCAGTACTTCCCAAAAGTACGTGTTCACAAAAAGGGAGTGCTGCTTGAGACCACCAGTACTTCCTGAAAGTGCGTGCTGTGCACACGTCGGGAAGGGCTGGAATGAACGGGGGGCTGCTGCACTGGGCTAAATTCATTTGACGGTCGAAACAGACTGTCATGGCAGTGTGCCAACGGCTGGCGCGTTAATTGCCACTCTTTTCAGATGTACTGGTGGTTTAAGATGACGTAACACCTCTTCAGCACTTGAACAATGTGGCACAGTCAAACTCATAATGACACCCCTCAAATTATACAACGCATTGACCCCCTGCAAAGCAGCAGTTCGCAAACCAGAGGGAGAGACTACCTCACTAGCCTATGGTTTCTAATTAAGCCGTTCATCTATATGCTGCATACAGTGGGACTAGGGTGACACCAGCAAGAAGCAGTAAGGTTATTCCACAAAATCCCACGATACTCGTGCCGACAAATGGAGCATGTAATGCAAGCACCTCTGGAAATATCAACACACACTGCACTTCTGCCACCTGAGCAAACCGAAAGCTGTGCATGCATCAAGCATGGTGAGCTCTATGCAATGACTTGCTGATTTCAACTGCCGAGACTGACTGCGCGGCTATACAGTGTACTGCTGTGTTTGCAGCTGTGTGCTTTGCTGTGTTTTTTTTTGTTTGCACTGAGGGCCGCCCGCTGTTCTAAAAATAGCCTGAATTAACAGCAGTAGGGGCTGAGTAGTTACGGGCCCTAAGTGGCCTTGAGCCCTAAGTGCAGCAGTTGGACCGATTTCGTAGAGGCGGAGTAGAGGCGGAGTAGGCCCTAACTGAAACGGTACCGGTAGGTCCTAGGCTAGGATAGTGTAGAATCTACAAGTAGGTTGGGGTAGGAGATCTCAGATGGGCAGTCAATCCCCTCGCCGGAGGGTAATCAATGCTGCCAGCCTACAACAATCTGTATGTTCTGATGATCATCAAGATGTTCAGGGACGCTGGACCCGATTTCCAGCAGGTGCCGCTCCCCACCAATAGATGGAGCCTCCCTGGGGGTACTAGCGGTGTCTGCTCTTACCAGCACCCCTAGTACCACCTCGGCTGTTCAAAACAAAAAACAAAACAAAAAACAAAAACAAAAAAAGGACTGTTTAGAACTTTTTGCTGTTCATTTTTGGGACGCAGCGTTTGGAGAAGCCGAGCAAGTTGGCGGTGACAATTGTCTGCAGGCGGCATCCTGAGACCCTTGCCTAGGACGGGGGCCATAGCTGGCCCTTCTGAAGGTTGCCGGAGTTGGGGCACCCTCAGCGCATCTACCCTGGGGGTATCTGCGTTTGGCCAGGCTGTGCTGAGGCTCTTCACTGAGTGTTTGTGGGTGGCGGCAGCCATAGCTGCCTGTTTCTTTGTCAGAGTTGTCCATCGGCACTGAAGACTCCATCGCAGGATCTGTTCTTCATCTGGGTGGTTGGCGCTGGCCTTTGGGAGGCTGTTTTGGTTGTGCGCTTCTAACTGGGTGTAGGGTAGAGAGTGGAGTGTGGGGTTCTGAGTGTGGCGAGATACTGGAACAAACTCTGTGACGATATTTGGTTTAATTGGCTCATCATCAGTGTGATTCCGATTGTTATCCTCGCAGGTTCTTCTTGTGATTGGTTGTTGGGAGTACTGTCAGAGAGTGAGGAACACTCTGTGTTTTCTCCCCACCTGTGCATAGCTGTATTCCGCTGCCTATTTTGATCTGTGTACAGTCTGGACTATGTCTCCTCTCCCCCTTCTCTTATGCATGTATGGGCGTGTATGAGACAACTTTGCAAGAAACTCTGAAAGTGAGTCTGTTCCATGCATACCCTTGTATAGCGATTCAAATAGGGTTAGTTTAATTAGTAATCATGGTCTATCTGTCTGTCAGTGACTGGATGTGAAAATCGCAGACTGCATGACAACCATAGCCATCCGTCTCCTACCTTCCTCTGCTCATTTCTCACCCTCTGTTGACTCTTTTTCATCCAAAATTGTAATGTGGCTGCTTTACTGTATTGCGCTTGATCTGGGATGTTCAGATTGTGAATTCTGGATTGGAAAAGTAGAGATACTGTGAATTGTAGTTCTGCGCTGAGTCTAATTATAGCCTGTGCTACCTAGGGTCAGTCATAACTTCAATTCTGCCCGTCAGAATTCAATTCTGTTAGTTGCCAGTGAATTGCAATCCAAAATTAGTCAATACTGCAGAAGCGCTTGATTGGAATTGCAGTATTTCACTGGAAACAGTGAATGCTGTAGTTCGCCATGCCCTAGGGTATGGCCGCCAGAGTCATCGAGGTCGAAATGGGAGTTTGAGTTAGGATTCAGGGTCTCTGCCTAAACTGCTCTATTTGTTTGATCATTCTTGTCTATACTTGCCATGTTCTTTCATTCCCACTGACTACTCTTGCTTTTCCAGTGGGCTCTGAAAATCTGGTGTTTCTCTGGAAGAGTAGTGGATTATGTCTACTAACTCCAGTGTGGTGCAGGGTTAGTAAAAGGAAATCGTGTGAATGATTTTGCTGGACTATCTGTCTGTCTGACACCTGACCGCTAACCCAAACCGCTTGTTGCCCACACACCCACCTACCTACTGTGTCTGAGATAGCTGCGATTTCAGAGTGTCTGAAGGAAACTGTATATTGCTGCATACTCAGTTGTTGTCTGTCTATTGTTGTTGTTTTGAAAGTGGAAAATTGCGGACCAGGGTGCTCAGCAGCAGCCACAGATGGAAGTGGTGATGAAGGTAAAAGGGCAAGAACCATCTACCTCCACCCCTGGAACACCTCTGACTGCTACTCAGCGAAAGAAGGAGTTGCAGGAAAGGCTGCAGCAGGAGCAGGCCTTGCTGGCAGAATTAGAGAGACAAGAGGCAGCAGAACTAGAGGCTGCAACAGATGCCTCACGCAGTGAGTATCTGTTGGAGCAGCTAGGCAAAGCTCTGTCAGACGACCGTTGTGCCCAGGTGACTAAGAACTTGGCGGAGTGGGCCATTTTGGAACACAAGGTCACTTGTTCTTACTTCACTAACTGGGATGATCGCATCGGCCGCCTGGAGCGCAGGGTGGACGACCTGGCAGCTCAACAGTCCACGATACTGAATGCAATTCAGAATCTGACTGCTCAGCTGACAATTGTCAAACTGATTGTTCCCCAGTCTCCTCCTCTCTCAGTGAAACCTTCCTCTTCTCCCTCTTCAACTCCCTCTGGTTCGCGTCATTCTTCCCCTTCACCATCTCCTTCCCAAAAAGCCTCAACCAAACCCACCTTTGCTGCTGTTGTTGCACGGGATCAGAAAGGTCCCAAGATCCCTGCCCCCAACAAATTCAGAGGGGATGATCCCAAGACTGATGTTGGGGACTGGGCTGCAGGGATCAGGGCTTACTTGAGGGGCTTCATATGCCCAGAACAGACAAAGGTGGCTACAGTTCTGGGACTGCTGGAGGGGCCTGCACAAAAGTGGGCTACCTCTACCTCCAGCGGTCTGAAGAAATCTATGGACGATTGGGCTTTGGGATTGGGGGTGGACAATCTTCTGCAGGCTCTGGAAGACCGCTTTGCAGACAAGGAGACGGCCCGCAAAGCTGTTGATAGGATCGCTCGCCTTGGGCAGCAGCGCTACAGCGGTTCCCTGCAATCGTTGTTTGCAGAGTTCGAGCAGCTAACTTCCACACCTGGTTTGGTCATGTCTGCAGATGACCTACTAACAAACTTCTGCAGGGCAGCCCCTGAGAAGTTGTCTGTGGCATTGTATAGCGCTGGGCACAAGGATTGGAGATCCTTTGGCCGCGTAGCCCTGGACATGGAGGCCAAACTTCATGTCCAGGCCCCCTCCTCTGACAGGAGGAAAGGTGCCTTCCCTCGTGGTGGTAGAAAGGGAAAGACAGCCTTTGCGCATGCAAGGTCTGCGTCATCTTCCGGTTCAGACGCCCAAGCTGATACACTATCAGGTCGGACTGGATCAGCTGCTGAGATAGATGTTGCAGCGACCCTGACTCAGGCTGTTCTGGGAGTTCTGCAGCAACATAAAAGATTTTCCCCCACCACAGCCTCAGCCAGTGCAAAGAGGAAGGACAAGGGACTTCGGCCTTCCTCCTCCCAGCGCCCTAATTTGCCAAAAGGCGTCCGTATGCCAGCTGACCCACTCAATCCCTCCACTCTCCCCTGGCACGACCTCAAGATCCAGAAGGGAGTGTGGAGAAGAAGGAAGGAGAGAGGGGTCTGCCTGAGATGTGAGGGACAACACTTTTTAAAGGACTGCCCTTACATGCCAGACCCGGGTCAGTCAAAAAACTGAAACAAATCCTGGGGACTGCAGTTCCCCCCAGTGCTGCACCTTCATCTGCCCAGGTAGGTGAATTTGCAGTTGTTTCAGTTGAGACTATATGTGAGACTTTGGGGACTGCACGGGCAGCATCCTTTTGTTATGAGGATCCTGACCCGGATCAGGACCCGGGGCAGGATGAGCTTCAGTCCCTTGCTGCTTTCTTCCTTCATCTGAACGAACAAAAGAAGAGCAAGTCTGATCTCATCCTACTTCGGCCACTGATCAATCACATCAGGATCAAAGGGTTGTTGGATTGTGGAGCCACTAGGAACTTCATATCTCCCAATGCTGTAAAGAAACTGCATCTGAGTATGAAAGTTCAGCAGCTGCAGCAACCTTTGCTCGTCAGAATAGGTGACTCCACTGTTCTCACTATCAGGGAGAAGGTCAAGGGTATCCCTGTTACCTTCGATTGTGCTGGAGAAATCAGACACAATCTGAACTTCTACATATTCCCTGACTTACCCTTTGACCTGGTGTTCTCTATGCAGTGGCTGAAGGCAGTCAACCCAAGGATCGAACTACCTAACAGACAGGGGGTGTACCAACCATGTATGATTGTTGTTGAACACCACCCTAAAACCAATTGCTACTGTTTGAGAGCGACGGAGTTCTATGCTCTCTCGCGCCAGTATGACCATGAGCGTTTGTTCTTAGCTCTGGTCAAGCAGACAAACGCTCCTACTGTTTCCTGTCCCCCTGAGATACAGCAGGTGGTGGACCAGTACGCTGATCTGATGCAGGAGCCCTTTGGGTTACCCAATCGGCCAACCAAGCATCTCATCGAGCTGCTACCTGGGGCGGTTCCTCCCAAGGGCCGCATCTACAGGATGTCCCCTGCTGAGCTTGAGGAGCTCAAAAAGCAGCTTGAGACCCTGACCAGCAAAGGCTGGATACGGTCGAGCACTTCTGAATTTTGGGCACCAGTCCTCTTCGCCCCAAAAGGGAATGGAGAATTCAGAATGTGCATTGACTACAGGGGTCTCAACAAGATCACTAGGAAGAGTACAAAGCCACTTCCTAGGATCGATGATCTTCTGGATATGGTGCAGGGCTGCACAATATTCAGCAAAGTCGACCTCAAATCTGGCTACCAATAGATTGAGATGGCAGAGGAGGATGTCTACAAGACGGCCTTCAAGACCAGGTATGGTACTTACGAGTTCCTGGTCATGCCATTTGGACTTTGCAACGCCCCAGGTACCTTCCAGACAGCAATGCACTGCATTTTCAGGCCTTACCTGGACAAGTTCATGTTTGTCTACCTGGATGACATCCTGATATTCAGCAGAACTGTCAGGGAACATGTGGAGCACTTGGCTCTTGTTCTTCAGCCGTTACATAACAGCCAGTATAAGATTAATAGAGAGAAGTCCTCTTTTGGAGTTCCCTCTGTCATCTATCTGGGTCATGTAATCTCTGGAGATGGCCTGGCTCCTGAAGCAGCCAAGATAGCTGCTATTCAGGAGTGACTACAGCCACAGACAGTGAGGGATGTCAGGTCCTTCATGGGTTTAGCCTCATACTACATCAAGTTTGTCAGAAACTTTTCTGCAGTGGCCGCACCCCTGACCAACCTAACAAAGAAAGACACTTCATTTCTTTGGTCCCTTCCCTGTCAGTTGGCCTTCACACGACTCAAGAAGGCCTTGACTCATGCACCAGTGCTGAAGTTGCCTGACCCCACTTTGCCATTCATCTTGACCACTGACGCTAGTCAGCATGGCATTGGGGCAGTTCTTCGGCAGGATGATGAAAATGGTCTACGGCCTGTAGAGTTCATGAGTAAGAAGATCAAAACACAAAAGCTTCAGGACTCTACCTACGAGAAAAAGCTATATGCTCTTGTCTGTGCCTTGAAACATTGGAAACACTTTCTCCTGGGGAGACACTTCAAGAGCTTCTCTGATCACTCCACCTTACAGTGGATGAAGTCCCAGGGAGAGTTCAATGATAAGTTGACACGTTACATTCAGTTCATCGACATGTTCGACTTTGAACTGAAACACAAGAAGGGATGCTACAACAAGGTGGTAGATGCCCTCTCTCGTAGGCCCGACTCTTTTGCATTGATCTCCTCCACTCACTCCTTTGGAGAGGCGACCCGTCAGACCATTGCTCGTCTTCTGCCTCAGGACCCGACTTATGGACCCATAGTCAGGACTCTGCAAGCGGATCCCAACTCTGAACCCGGCTATGCCCTGAGTTCAGGTTTGTTGTATACCTACAGCAGAGGTGAGGAGCGCTTGTGCATTCCCCATGATCAACGGCTCAGGGCACTGCTGATGTCAGTGTCATGATGCACGTGGACACTTTGGGTTCTTAAAGTCATATGCAGCCCTGTTGCAGCGCTTCTTCTGGAGGGAGATGCGGAGTGATATGTTGCGCTATGTGGAAACCTGTGAGCTTTGCCAGAGGAATAAGGTCCAGCGTAGGCCACCTCTGGGACTACTCAAACCCTTACCCATACCTGATGGCCCTGTTGAATCTATGTCAATTGACTTCACAGATTTAGGCAAGACCACCCCTCGAGGCATGCGTCAGGTTATGGTCTGCGTGGACAGGTTCTCCAAATACGCAGAGTTTATCCCCTTGCCAAAGGTAGCTAGAGGCCCGGTTGTGAGAGCAACCTTTTCAGAGAGGTGGGTCACCCACCATGGACCGCCCACTTCTATAGTCAGTGATAAAGACCCCCGATTTTGCAGCGATGAGTGGCAGTCCTACTGTAAGGACTACCTGCACTCACGATTGGACATGACTTCTGGTCATCATCCTAAAGCCAATGGTCAGGCGGAAGTGATGAACCAAGTCTTATTCCAATTGCTGCGTCCTGTCATCTCTCCAGATCAGTAGAACTGGGATCTCCACTTGGCTCGGGCACAACTTGTTTATAACATGTTTGTTCATTCCTCGACTGGGTTCAGTCCATACCGGTTGCACTGGGGACGTGAACCACGACAGCCTCTCGATGATATCATCGATAAGGCTAAGTCAGACCTGACACTAGGCACCGCAGAGTTCACCAGACGCTACCGCATAGATGTGGAATGAGCACGGGCGAACTTGTTCAAAGCCCAAAAGGCAATGATCGAACAAGCTAATAGCCACAGGCGGCCTTCCCCCATCCGCACTGGTGATTATGTCTAGGTAGCCAGTTCTGAGTTGTCGAGGGAGGAGGGTATCTCCCCCAAGTAGTTGCCTCGTTATCTGGGTCCATGGCAGGTCTTAGATACAGTGGGCGCTGATCCATTTGGCCCATCCTATGTCATCGACGTCCCATTGCATGTACGAACCTACCCGGTCTTCCATGCATCTAAGCTGCTCCCATTTACTCCAGCTGATGCATTCCCAGACCGGCCCCATCAATTTGGTCCACCGATCCCTGGCAAGGGGAATGACGTGGAATGGATTGAGGATGAGTGGGGCACAGGCCCCGATCGGCAGTATCTTGTGAGGTTCGCTTTCCAGCCTCCTTCTGAGAACAGGTGGTTCTACAGAAGGGAACTTCTCAAGACAGCAAAGTCAGTTGTTCTGCGATACGAAGCAGCTCAGAAGGGCAACCTTCCTCGCCGTTCACCTCGCCTGCATCCTCAGCTCAGAGGTCCTCGCTCCCCGGGGGGGTAAGCCTGCAATGACTTGCTGATTTCAACTGCCGAGACTGACTGCGAGGCTGTACAGTGTACTGCTGTGTTTGTTGTGTGCTTTGCTGTGTTTTTTTTGTTTGCACTGAGGGCCGCCCGCTGTTCTAAAAATAGCCTGAATTAACAGCAATAGGGGCTGAGTAGTTACCGGCCCTAAGTGGCCTTGAGCCCTAAGTGCACCAGTAGGACCGATTCCGTAGAGGCCGAGTAGGCCCTAACTGAAACGGTATCGGCAGGTCCTAGGCTAGGATAGTGTAGAATCTACAAGTAGGTCCGGGTAGGACTGTTGAGGACTTTTGGCTGTTCATTTTCGGGACGCAACGTTTGGAGAAGCCAGGCAACTTGGTGGTGGCAATTGTCTGCAGGCGGCATCCTGAGACCCTTGCCTAGGATGGCGGCCATAGCTGGCCCTTCTGAAGGTTGCAGGAGCTGGGGCACCCTCAGCGCATCGACCCTGGGGGTATCTACGTTTGGCTAGGCTATGTTGAGGCACTTCACTAAGTGTTTGTGGTTGGCGGCAGCCATAGGTGCCTGTTTCTTCGTCAGAGTTGTCCATCGGCACTGAAGACTTCATCGCAGGATCTGTTCTTCATCTGGGTGGTTGGCGCTGGCCTCTGGGAGGCTGTTT